AAGACAAAGTCTTGCGATGGTTGTAAGGTGTGTGCCCAGCATTAAGCAACCCCCATATACCCATCTTAAGCCCTCATGCCTCAGTCCCCTATAGTTCTGTTTTTCCAGAAGCTATTGATCCTTTGACTTGACGCTGTGTTTTCTACTCTGCACTAAAACCTTCTGCATCAGGTTTTAGAGACCAAACTATTACACTCTTATGTAATGGAAGGTCTTGATGTTTTAATCTTAAAGTGACATTAAAGCCTCAGATTTTTTTACATAAACCAATACTGTAATGTGCGCCTTACTGTAATCCATGGTAGTTTCCCTTCTCTTTGCTGCTCTTCCTTTTAAATCCTCATGTCTTCTCATGCTTGGGGAGAACTTCTTCTCTTTTCAGCTCAGGGCCTCTTCCTGTAGTGCTGGCTCAGGTTACAAACCTATACAAACGTACACACAGACACCGTGTATCCATTCCTGAGACAAGGCAGTCTGCTGCAAAACAGAAGTTCTGCAGAGCATGAGAACAGATACAGATTTAAAAGGAAGAGCAGCAAAGAGAAGGGAAACAACCATGGATTACAGTAAGGCGCACATTACAGTATTGTTTTATGTTAAAAAATCTCAGGGTTTAATGTCACTTTAAAGGATTTTACTCATTTTCACTTAGACTCTGTCTTGAGATATACATTTGACTTGTCTAGTATTACTCTTCGTCCTATTTTGTGCTTATGTCAGAATGGATTAACTCATATAAAAAAGACCTCTCATTCTCAAGAATAGACCCACATACCCTGGAACTTCTGGGAAGATTGTGTAATACTTGACATTTTAGCTGTGAGGGTCTTCACAAGCCACCAAGCTTATTTCTCACATAGGCCTAATGTCTGTTCACATGCATAGAGCAGTCTGGCTATGTTCCTCGGAAGCTTGTAATAACACCAAGGCGCATTTGATTTACTCTCCCTTCAAGGGTAGACTCCTTTTTTTGGCTCTCACTGACCATTTCATTTCTACAGTTTGGGATAGATGATTGTCCAAAGAATCTATCCCGAACCACAGGTAAATGTTTCATGTACAATTACATGTGGACGGCCACTGACAAATGAGGAGCTGTTGGACACACCTGGGATGCTTGTCACAAGAATCTCTAGGTTCTTGCCGCAGGAATCCACAGCTACATCCTTAAAGGTGCCCATACACTGCACGATTATCGTACGCGATCGGTTTTTCGTACGATAATCGAGCAGTGTGAACGGAGACGTGCGACCGTTTCTACTGTACGGTCGCACGTCTTCTGTCGAACCAGCATGTTCGAAAACCAGCCGGGAATCGTACGATTCTCGGCTGGTTAGAACGGTGCTCAGAAGACAAATGCCGAGAGGGCCGGTGTGCGCACGCGCACACTGCCCGTTCAGCATTGCGGTCATCGGAAGCCCGCTCCTCAGGGGGGCGGGCTTGCGATGATCGAGAGTGCGATCTGCCTGTCCAAGATAGGCAGATCGTACGTTTTTTTTAATCCCTGTACAAGTCCCCCATACACAGCATCGCAGCCCTGCGCTAGGTGTTTAAAATTATGCTCTCAAACGGCAAACACTCACATTGGACCGCGCTGACCAATGAGAAGCGCTTCTTGGCAAGCAGCACTTCTCATTGGCCAGCATGGTCACGTCACGGCTCTCCAGTTGCATGGGCAATTTGAAATGGCTAGCACAAGACTGCGATGTTGTGTACGGACCGTACATCGGGAGCCGTGGAGGGGGAAGTGGCTTTCATTCACGGGTAATGGTTTGGGTTCTGAGAGGGAGCAGATCGGTGGTGCGGGTAATTCAAGTTTGCCAAATTTGGCCGGAAGAGTGGAATTACCCTTTTTCAGTCCATATTTTTTATTTTTTTAATCTGTCCTCCTTATCTTAACAGGCATCTATTCTAACCACTAGAAGCTGCCTTTTAGTTCCTGTGTATAACCTTGCTCCAAAGAAACCGCTAAAAATGTAGGAAATGGTAAAACATGATTTTTAGGTATGTTGCTTGAATAGGAACCCATAACAAACAAACATATAGTGGCGGTTTTTTAAACTTGACTGCACTATGTGCGTGTAAAGATACCGTATTTTTCGCTCCATAAGACGCACTTTTTTCCCCCCAAAAGGAGGGGGAAAAAGTGCCTGCGTCTTATGGAGCGAATCCCGACGCCCAAGACATGCAGTTTCGGGTGTCGGGCGAGTAGTAGGAGCCAGTGCTCGTTTAATACGAGTGATCTAATGAGATCACTCGTATTAAAACCGAGCAGCGGCGGCGATCGAGATAACCATAGAGCAGACGAAGAATGGACGTTCTTCGCCTGCTCTGTGTCATCACTGAGACCGTGGCGCTGTAATCACAGCACCACCTGTCTCAGCGGTCACTAACTGCAGCTTCTGTCACAGCTTCTGTCATAGAAGCTGTGTCAGAAGCTACAGTCTCGAGTGCTCCATAAGGCGCGCCGGACCTCCCTGCGTCCTATGGTCCGGTGCGTCTTATGGACCGCAAAATACGGTAACTAGTACTGTATCATTATGCCCCGTTCCCACTGCGCGATATGCAAATCGCGCGTTTGTTGCGCGATTTGCATATTGCGTGACATCGTGAGATTTGGCGCTTGAATCGCGGCTAAATCCGCTTCAAAAAGGGTCCTGCTGTAGCGACACACGACCCACGACAGCAGGACCCTTTGCCCCATTGGATTGCACTGGAGCGCGATATCGCGCGGTAATTTGCCGCGATATCGCGGGAATTACCGCGCGATAAATCGCTCAATGTGAACGGGGTCTTAACCCTGGTTCTGTGCCATTGCTATTCACAGATCTCTCCCTTTCTCCACCCCCCATCTGTGATTGGATTCATTGCCTTTTCAACTTCTGGTCATCCAGGCCAATGCGTTTATATTAACCCTGTATGCCTAATGCAGTTTGAGGCTAAAATTCCCAAAGAGTCTCAACTAAAAAGTGAGAAAACATTTGAGGGTTATAATTCTGCAAAACAAAATGCCACAGTTTACAATTTGTATTACGGTTATAGAATATGTACATAAATAATAATATCCTTTTATTTTCTGACCGCTAAACCAATGTTCAGCACTTGGTGGTGGTGGAGGTGCTTGGAATATAAACCAGAGTCCTCTTGAAAGTAGTAATTTAATCTGTCCTCCTTATCTTAACAGGCATCTATTCTAACCACTAGAAGCTGCCTTTTAGTTCCTGTGTATAACCTTGCTCCAAAGAAACCGCTAAAAATGTAGGAAATGGTAAAACATGATTTTTAGGTATGTTGCTTGAATAGGAACCCATAACAAACAAACATATAGTGGCGGTTTTTTAAACTTGACTGCACTATGTGCGTGTAAAGATACCGTATTTTTCGTTCCATAAGACGCACTTTTTTCCCCCCAAAAGGAGGGGGAAAAAGTGCCTGCGTCTTATGCAGCGAATCCCGACGCCTGAGACATGCAGTTTCGGGCGCCGGGCGAGTAGTAGGAGCCACTGCTTGTTTAATAAGAGTGATCTAATGAGATCACTCGTATTAAAGCCGAGCAGCGGCGGCGGCGATCAAGTTCAGCAGCAGGAGCCACTGCTCGTTCAATACGAGTGATCTAATGAGATCACTCGTATTAAAACCGAGCAGCGGCGACGATCGAGATCACCATAGAGCAGACGAAGAACGGAAATTCTTCGTCTGCTCTGTGTGATCACTGAGACCGTGGCGCTGTAATCACAGCGCCACCTGTCTCAGCGGTCACTAACTGCAGCTTCTGTCACAGCTTCTATCATAGAAGCTGTGACGGAAGCTGCGGTCTGTCGAGTGCTCCATAAGGCGCGCCTGACCTCCCTGCGTCCTATGGTCCGGTGCGTCTTATGGATCGCAAAATACGGTAATTACTTTCAGGTTTTACTTGCCACGGATGTACATAATGGAAAGGAAACTTGGTGGACCTTAAATGGATTCACTAACCAACTCAAGAAGGGTGGTAATGATTTACATATTTATTGCTTTTGCATTGGGTGTACTCTCCTTTTACTGTATCAAAGTTTATGTTTTGCCATTCCTTTAGCAGACAATAGAAATGTAATTATGACGAGCAGAAATAGGAGTGTGCTAATTAATGGTCTGTATAGAAAATGTTTGCATATACTGGATGTGAAAAGCTCCACCGACTTTTCATGCTTCTTTTTGTGTTCTATAACAAGAACCCAAAAGCTTTACATTTTATTCTAAAGCTGGCCATACACCTTACAATTATCTGCAGATTTTCTGTGGTCAGATGGAAAAAGTGCAACAGATTCCTCCATCTACACTTAAAGGTGCCCATATACTTTACAACCCTCGCAAGACCTTTGTCTTGTGAGGGTTGTAAAGTACTTAAAAAAGTACTTGGCCAGGCAGATCGTACTTGCGATCATCGCAAGCCAGCCCCCCTGAGAGGCGGGCTTCCGATGACTGCAATGCTGAACGGGCAGTGTGCGTGTGCAAACACCGGCCCGTTCGGCAGTTATCTCTCAATCATGCTAAAAACCAGCCGAAAATCGTACGATTCTCTGCTGGTTTTCCAACATGCTCGAAATACCAAGTCGTGCGACCGTACATTAGAAACAGCCGCACGCCTTCCATACACTGCACGATTCTCGTACGATCGCGGGATTTCCCGCGATTCTTGTACAAGAATCGTGCAGTGTATGGGCACCTTAACTGTGTGGATGGAGGAATCTCCACCTGGGCCAATATGTTGCACTTTTTCCATCTGACCACAGAAAATCTGCAGATAATTGTAAGGTGTATGGGCACCTTTTACTGAACAAACTGAAGGGAGGCTGATTGGTGGCCATGCACTGCTGCTCTAGATTTTGTCTGCTCCAGTTTTGATCAATTCCCCCCACTGCATTGTCAAGAAAAGGACTGGGGACTTAATAGTTTGGAGATTTATAATTTTCCTTTGTTGCCATGATGACCCTTATTTTATTTTTTCTCTGTCTTCTAAATAGCTTAACGATGGAGGGAAGGCTGCTAAAGCGTATATCGGGATCGGTGATGTTGTTCTTACCATTGATGGCATAAGAACAGATGGAATGACTCATTTAGAGGCACAAAACAAGATTAAAGCATGCACTGGATCATTGAGTTTGACTTTGCAAAAGTAAGTGTTTAACTGTCAGTATTTCACGTTCACGCCATTATAAAATGAGCAGCAAATTTTAAAGTTTAGGCCTTGTCTAGAAGAACTTACAAATATCTGTTAGCAGAATATATTGTAAACAAAAAAAAGTGTGTGTGTTTGACTAGAGTACACCAAGAAGAGCATAACATAGCCTCCAGCTGGCATTCTTCTTGGATACTTGTGTTGTGTACATACTTTATACACTGAGTGGCCAGATTATTATGACCACCTGACGTTTGTAGGCAAATTAGCTATAATTAGCTATAATTTTGCGCTGAAGTTGCTAGAGGGCCAGAGCATTATAAATAGGGAAGCAGGTTGTTTACCACGACAGTAGAAGTGATTTTTTTCTGAAGATATGGGTAAACAACGCGATTTAACAACCTTTGAACGTGGGATGATTGTTGGCGCTCGGAGCCATGGAGCGAGTATCAGCAAAACAGCAGAATTTGTTAAATGTTCAAGAGCAGCTGTTGTTAAAGTGTTTAAAGACTGGACTGTCAGCCGAAAATCTGGGTCTGAATGTGCGAATTGTGGCCGTCAGCGACTAGTCAATGTTAGGGCAGAACGGAGAGTGGCAAGACTGGTACAAGACAACAGAAGGGCAACAGTGCAGTGTCAGATTCCTTGCATCACCTTTCAACATCTCGTGGAGTCACGAGGCGGCCCAACAAAGTCATCTCGTGGAGTTATCTCGTGGCCCAACGAAGTACTGATGGGGTGGTCAGAATAATCTGGCCACTCAGTGTATATTCCATGTGTGTCTGTGAAATCCCGTGCTTCTGAATGATCACAGCCTCCCATTTTAATGAAGTGACCGGAACTATTACTCTTTGTGTCTCAAAGCTCTAAGTGTTCTACCTTGCTCACCCTACTGCTGTCTCTGTATGGCATCTACACAGCTTTTGGTCCCACAAATCCAAAATGAGCAAGGTGAATATTAATGTGAGTGCCATAAACGTTTCTTGCTGCCAGAGGGAGCAGGTGGTGCCAGAGATCATGTCGGGTACATTTTTTACTGAAAGCGCACGTTCTCAAGTGAAACTTTATTTATTTATTTTTTTTCCTTCAATAATCGAGACTTTAAAAATACATTCCACCAGAATTTCCTCATAGACTAGTCTGTTATATTAAATGTTATTTATAGAGCTTGCAAATATGTCGGATCACCACAGGGTAAGCATCGTCTGAGAAACGGATGCCCTGTGTTATTGTAAAGTAAAAATCAAGTGATTTGGTCCTTGGCCCTAGTTAGAGTTGACTTATTCATTTTTACTTCTATATATTATAAATGGAAGTGGTTGCGCCAGAACATTTATTTGCAATCTGTGATAAACTGGAGCCATCTGATTCTGCTGAGCATCCGTAATAAATTCTTCAGTGAAAATCTCTTCTACCACAACATGGAATTCCTATCATAGTAAGGGGCTGCTCCGCACATGTTTTCCTTTCCTACATCCAGCTTGGTTTGGTGGTAATTATTTCCTTTCCTTTTTACAGTGGACTTTTTACTGCAGTGTTGACAGTGGATTGTGTGATCTGTTCAGTTTCCTTTTTACTTCTTTTTTTTTTTCTGGGCTACGAGTAAACTATCAATCGGTGTAACCTGGCTCTGTTATGCAGCTTACTTTAATTTAAATGCTTTACAGGTATTCCACAGCTACCCCCCCCCTTCACTTTTCGCCCGGGGCCCGCGCCCCTGCTGCCCCCCCCGGTTGTTACGCCACTGTAATAAGCCACACATTTCCTTCCACTCTGAACTTTACATAAGAGTCAATACATCAAGAAGTATATGTCATTTTATTTACATGGCAATCCTAAATATCTCATAGGGGTGGAATTGTATTTTTCCACATGAAATGGATATTTAACAAAAAACAGCTATATTTCTCATGAATCAATTAATCTACATTTCTTTTCCTGCTCTCCTTAGTTGACCGTTCATAGAACCTCAGACTTATGCCTGACAAATACATTGAGTTATTTTACAGAGACCCTGTCACTTTTTGGCCTGAATTGCAAATGTGACTGGATCACTTTAAAGCCCACACTCAAACCCAGTTATTCACCTTTTACTTCGCTTTCCTGATGCTTCTCTATTGCAGCAAAACACCTGGTGTCGGAGCTTACAAGAAGCAATAATGTCTCCTCCGACTACTTGTGACCGGGTTTAGGCCTAGTAATAGGCTTCTAGGCCCGAGCAGTACATATGGGGGGAGGTCACATGCTCCCTCATACCTGGAAGCACCTGGTGTTTTGCAGTTGCCACCATGGAAGGAGAAGCGAGGAGTGATCTGAAGATAAGGAAAGCTGGATGGAGGGAGTTTAAAGAGACCCTGATTGGGCATAGTGACAGTCCCTTTAAGGAGAATTAATAACCCTGCATTATTTTCTAAAATATTGCATGTGGAATTTGCATTAATAATTTGAAGATATTAATTTTGTGGATTAGGGATAGCAATATTTGAGGGGCTCATGCATTCTTTTTAAACTCTACATATACTATTCGATTGCAAATGCATGCCTTCCAATGGAAAACACAGTATTTGACAAGAAAAGACTGCCTTTGACCTGATTGACCTGCAGATCAAACACATAGTAATGGGACATCTCTAAAGGTCAAATGCAGCATCTGAACTGCCATGTGTACTGCTCAATTGAAGTCAATGGGATCTTGATGACCTGCATATAGAACACACATCAAACACAGGAAAACACCCATCAGCCTGAGCCTGGATACAGATGATGAAAATATCACACATTAATGCAAATAATGCTTGCTGTGAAGCTTTGTATTTACCCCATAGTGTTTCTTTTCAATAAGGGAGGCAGAGGTTTTTTGTTCCTTCAAGATTACTGACCCCCC